TTTTTTTGCAAACGCTAAACTCAAATTTTCGTCTTAGTGCGAACAGGGCCTTACTATTTAGTTACCTTACCATTACCGATGTAACATCGTATGTACATCATAAACTCCCAGTTTCTTTCTTGCTGTACATCGCAACCAAAAAAACTTGTCAAATCAACCAAATCAGTACTGTAAACAGTTCTATGAATGCTCCTATCTCCGAGACTTATAGTTCACAAAAAAATAACTCTTGCACGCCTTGCGTGCCTATGTTTATGAGTGTTGTTAAGGGTTTTGTGCACTGAGAATTAGGGATACACATAAATGTACCAGTTGCCATCCTTTTTCCTACGGACGACTGAAATTGGCTACTTGATCTGCAGTCCAATGTACAGCTGTACTAACCCTGTTAGCCCACTGTATGTATTTTAAGCCTTGAATGAATAATTTATTATGTGGGCTGCCTAGCACATTTCAAAATAAGGAACACCATTGGCTTTTGAAACAACAAAGAACAACAGGTCATGATTTTATGGTTAGTGGCTCTAAAAAAGCAAGAGTGTCTGTAACAGAAAGATGAAGGAAGGGAAGTCTTTGAGGTGGCAGGTTACTGATTATGCCCAGCAGTTAATTCCTCTTTGTGATACAAATTTTCAATTTTTAGATGGGTATTCAAAAACCACCACAAGACGAACTACTGTGTTCCTTTTCCGCCACTTGAAGAAGGTGACATGCTGAGGAGTATGAGCGTTGTACCATATCTAGATGATCTTCATAATCCCTCACTGGACGAGGAGGTACAAGGACACCCCAGTCAGTATGACGAGTCTTACTCAGCTGGTAGGGAAGCAACCTTCTCAAATTCATTCATAATTCATCAAGTTCACACAAAAGACATGACTGTGACAGTGTGTGGATGTCTAATCTTAATTAGAAGAATTCTACTAGTATACTAATGCAAATGCTGCAATCTGATCGACTGAGCTACTCGCACACTATCATCCATTAGAGTACAGTGGCGGTTGGTCGTCTACGAAGTGGTGATGTTTTTCCATTTTCCCAAAGTTCTGGAGTAACATTTAGATGTAAATGGATAATTAAATTCCTGAGAAGACTAAAAGAAGGTCATTAATGGTGTTTTGACTTTAAAAAATTGAAATTATTGAAAAAACGAGTGCGTGTGGATAAACAACTGCAAATTTCCAATGACAATTCAGTCTGTGGGATTTTATTAAAGTGTGAAGTTTAATAATACCTAAAAAAATGATTGGAAACCATAATTTCTGTTAATTTCAGTTATAGAATTCTAACAAAACAATTAGATCATTTCTCTTGATTTCTATGAGGTGATAGTTAATTGATTCGGCCTTTGACCTTATCAACTATCACCTCATAGAAATCTTGAGCTCATAATCTAAATATTAATTAGCATAGATTTTTACAAATTTTATTTGTCTGTTTTCTCCTTAGTTTTAGTTTTGACTAGGAAGATAGATCAAACACTCAAGACATGAGTGCATACAAGTGAAGGAAAGTGCGTACAGGTGTAGGTGAGTGTATGCAAGTGATGGAGAGTGCATACAAGTGAAAGAAAGTGCGTACAAGTGAGGATGAGTGAATACATGTGAATAAAAGTTAAGGAGAGTGAATAAATGTGAAGGCGAATGCATAAAAGTGAGGGTCAATGAATACAAATGTATGGAAGTGTATGTGAGTTGATCTTTCCGCCATATTATGATATACCATATATGGTATAAACATAGTGCTCTATATGCATGCTAGCATGAAGTATATACCCGTGCAGGCGTGCAGGACATTGTGCAGGACAAAGTGTAGTAAAAGATGGGGTAGCTGCTATGGAGCAAACGGCCCACAGAAAAGAAGATGTGCTCCTTTTTGTGCCCAACCTAATAGGTCAGATATTTCTTCTCGTCTCCAGTGATTTTAGCCCTATGTGATCACGATCTGTTTTGTAAAAGGTGCGTTAGGTGTAAACTGAAAGAAAGACAATGGCAATTATGTAACACTTCGTGTAACCAAAAAATTACAAGCTGCCAAAATGATCTCCTTCTATCAGAGGTATTGATATCAATATAACCAGAAGCAGGCACGGTTCCTTCCTTCTTTAGATTTTTAGGCGGAGGGAAAATATGTTTCTCAGTACACCCAGGTACACCCTGTCCCACAAGCTTGAGATAAAAGTGAAAATCTTCGTGATACTCATTGAATTCTACTTGTTTTGTATAAAAACTAATGTCTATCTTTTGTCTCTAAAGGTTACGTCCGTCTTGTCCTTTTACTAGCATCCTGGATATTCTTTACCAATCCAGTCCTTTTCCTGTCTTTTTACACCTCATCAATCTTACTGGATGGTGAGAGCTGTGTACATTGTGATTCTTAAATAAGCTTACATATTTGCTTGAAACGAATTCATGATATTTTTTAAGCTGCATGTTTGCCAGATCTGCTCAGTTTGTATTATCACAGGAGCCCAAATCAAAGCATCAAGTCTGGTGACAACCCCATACTTGATGAACCTCAGGGTGGTGGGGGGGGGGNAGGGGGGGGACTCCCTTTCATAAATGGAATGTATTGAAAGGCTTTACCTGAAAGGGGTAGCTTTTTCAGGCTGGATGTATATAGAATGGTAGGATTTTAACTAGTGGAAGTATAGAAAAGAGTAGAAAACCTGTCTCTCAAGTAGTAAAGGACTTCAGCAAAGTGTTTGATACAGGTGTGTTGGTGATAAGGAGTTACAAAGGCCATTTATGGGTTTGAATTAAACAATTTAGAGATTTCTTTTAGGGTGAAATTTTCTGGTGGACTTTTTTTGGGTAGAGAGGTTTCTAAAGGATTTTTTTTAGAATAAATAAGAGTATACTGTAGTATGTGGAAGGGGTTACATTTTCTGTGCAAGATCTTTCATATAGATTCACTATTATTATTTTATTTCAGGTCTTGATGGAATTTTAGCACGGCAGTTAAACCAAACATCTGCATTTGGAGCCTGGGTACTGAAATTTCTTTGATTCAATTTCATCTTCAACTAAATAATGTCAATGTCGTGGTTTTCTCTCATAACTTCTTGAGAGCTGTTTAGTTTTCAAAAATTGATGTTGTTCCCTTTCAAGCAGAACCAGGTTAAGTCAGTAGATTGAATTGATGGGTCAGGTCTATATTGGTACAAATGAACTTGAACCCAGTTTTTCAAACTGTCATGACTAAGCTGAGCTTGTAGCAACAGATAAACAAGAGCTTTCCCTTCTGTTGTGCTAAATGTCTTTCAATTTTGCCTTGACCTAAGTATGTCCTGAAAATCCACATGTACTGGGTGCAGCGGGGTTATTTATTCATTTTTTGTACGGTTTGTTCTTTTTATAGTTAGATGTTGTTATCGACAATCTTGGCAGAGGAATGCTGTGGACCTTACTTTATAAAGTAATTGTTGCCTTGTTGTTGATGATACTTTCAATGTTAATGATATTAATGTAATGTTAGCCCCCAAGGGAGGGGAAGCATATTTAGAGGGAGACTTTGCCTAAAGGGGGTAGCTTTTTCAGGCTGAAGGTGTATAAAAGAGTAGGGAAGGCTGTCATATTTAAAAGGGCCATTCCAAATAACTCAACAGATGCACCAAATGTTTCAACAATCGATGTCTTTTAGGGGTTAGTGGAGTGAAAAGTTTAGAGAAGGGATGGAGTATTTCTGTTGTTACTGTGTGAAAGGACTACCATTTTATAATAGAAAGTCTACAAATGGTTCCTGTTCCGGTCAAAAATGATGTAATTATATGATTAGTGAGGGTTGAACCTCAGCTGGAGCCCCCCTGTATAAAACTGTGTTGAGTAATCCCTCAGGGATGTTAGCCATTAGTGAGCTTGCTTTGTATCAAGTGGCAATGTTCACCCTAACCAACTGAAAAGGCATTGTATTCAAGAGGTTAGAGTATGTGAATATTGGAAAAAAATTAATGTTTACCAACTTCTGCCCATGTTTTGATTTGGATTTTGCTTTTCTAGTGGTAGTGTCAGACCTCTTTGAAAGGCAGGGGCTCCAAACTTTTTCTGGCCCTGTGGGCCTTAAATTAACACCACCACCCCCCATCCAAATATTTTGGCCCTTTGGGTCTTGAGTATTTTTGCATATAACAAGGGCCCCAGGCCCCTTCCTTGGATCTACCACTGTTGTTTGACCAGTTGCTAGTATACAGCCATTGATTCAACTGCTGGCATGAATGAATTCTCTTTTTTTTAAATAAAAGAAGTCTAATACATGTGTAAGTTTCTATAATTTCTTAATGACTCACTCGTTTAGATGTTATCTGAGTGTGTAGCAGCAAATATCCAATATTAAAAGTCTTCTCACTTGTTCTTGACAGTGGGCATACTTTATCAGTGCATTGGAGTGGTTGGTATTTGTGTGCACACATACACTAGGAGCACAGTGGAAGAGCACCAAAACAAATCCTCCTTCATGGGTTCAAACTGTCATGGCTAATGGTATGTTGTTTCCAGACATGTTCATGAATATGTTATAGTTGAACTTCTCCAAAAAGCCACTTTTGTTGTGGGAAGGTTACCTTTCAATATCTTAAAGATAAAGTAGTCATGCCTATAACTTTNCCCCCCCCCTGCCACCCCCAATCCTGTTTGTTTAGCCTTGACATAATAATCTTGATTGATCATCATACTTCAAATTAGTTTCTTTAATTCACTTGTCAGGATTCAAAACACCAGCAGGCGTGTTTGCTGTGAGTGGCCTGCATGTGCTACCTGTGTGGCTATATGGACTCAAGTCACACTTGTGGACACCGTTCATGTCACACCATTTACAATTGGGAGTGACTGGTGTTTTAGTTTCTGGCAGAGCTCTTTGTATGGCTGTTGAAGTAAGTGTGATGACAAGTTGCATGAATCACAATGAGAAGACCTCTTAACTGGTTTGCTCTTCTGTGGCTTGAAGTTGAGCTGAAACTCTCATAAGGTCATTAAGAGGATAGGTTTACTCACTCTCTTTCCTCTTACCAATTTCCCTAAGCAAATCAAGTGAACTGCACCATACTAACTTTGGTCAAATGAGGAAGGAGTATGTGTATTCTAAGCTAATTATATAACAACTAGTTGTACCTATTGGTAAATGCCAACGAACAAATGAACCATTGTCAATGAGGATAATGGTTGTTTAGCAAGTATTTTACATATACATCAATGTAACCTATGACTCTGGGAGAAGTACGTTATTTATTTGTAAACCCAAGTGAGCCTCTCTGAACAAATGGAATGAACTGATAACTTCATGTAGACACGCAAACAAATTTCTCCTGAAAAATGCTAAATCTTAAATTTTATAAATTTTATAAATTTTATAGCTTCACTTGTCACAAAATTTTATAGCTTATCTTGTCACGCAATAGTAACGGAGTTTATTTATTTTTAATCTCCTACTTTCCATTGTTTTGTAAAAGCGTTCACTTATTGTAGCTATCATATTTCCAACAGTTGTGTGCGTACTTCAAATCAGTGTTACGATGTAATTTCGCATTTAGCAATTTTATCTGATGAGTGCTGCCCACAAGTTGTGTAGTACCAAACTAGATACAGTCGAACCTCCCATAAGCGACCACCCAAAATGTCAAGCCTAGGTGGTCGCTTACGAGAGCTTAGACCATACTGGGTCAAAATTTTGCCTCATTAGCATATGGTAACTGCAGAGACTTACCCTGTGTTTTAAACGCTTTATTCATTGGAAAAGTTAATTTCGAGAAAAAATCTGATTCTTCCCGTCTAGACATTTCCATCCCCTGTACTATCCAGGAACGCGACAATGTTAGAACACCTTATTATCCAGTTTCCACTCTATTATCTGTTAAGTGCTCGTCTACGGGAGGTTAAAAACAAAAGAAAATTTCAAACTTTTAGCTCTATAAGTGGTCGTGGTCGCTTATGAGAGCTGGTCATCTACAAGAGGTTCCAAATATAGTAATTTGACTTGAAAACTTTTGGTATTTTGGAAAACTGGTCGTACCCTGGTCCCAGAGGTTTTTCTTGATTTTTCTTATTTTCGGGAAGCGGCTAACACAAGTCGCGAATAAAATTCTTGCCGCTTTGCGACTTGTGTTTTCACTGCTTTGCGGCTCTCTTGCAGCTCTCTCATGCAGAGAAAAATAAAGAAAAACCTCTCGGACCAGGGTGAACTGGTCACTGAGTAGAGGTGGTCGCAACTGGAGGTTTGACTGTAGTAATAAAATGCCAAGTCAAATCTACGTTTGATCAGTTCGTCATCTGTTATATATATGTGTAGATGTACTGAATTGTTGCCAAGGAAAGGACAGACATGAAATGGTTTTGGTAGAATTTAATTTATATTTGTTTGAAATGTTTAAAATTTGAGCAATTCTAAATAATGTTTTGGTTTTGTCATGGACAAATTTTTTCAGCTTTGGCATACTATATATTAAAGTTTGGTCTCCTCACATGGGCATGGTTGTTCAAAAAACCAGATACTTGGCAGTCAAGAATTTTAAACCATGAGCTAGTACTTGACTATTATGAATGTTTTATTTTTTAAATTCATATCTATTATGAAAACACTTTTTTAAAAAAAACTAGCCGTCGAATATTGAATAAGCTACTTTTTAACAGTAGCTTAGCCAACAGTTCTAAGAACTTCAATTCTCTGCAGTCACTCAGTACCTATTGACAATGTCACGCAACCTGGGGTGAACTTTCGTTGTGTTATGTGCTTCCATGCCAAGGTGGTGAATCCTATGGTATTTATACACAGAGGTCAAGCATTCTCAGCAGGTTTGAATGGAAATTATGGTGGAAAAACGAAAATAATTTCTGACTGCTGGGTAAACAGTCAATTGAGAAATGCCCATGAGTCACACAAAGCTTGGACAATTTGTGACTTGGAAACCCAAAAATTGGCTCGTCCCAAATGTCAACAACATCAGCCTACATCCTGATATGACCAAAAAATCTCACAGCACCGGAAATGTTCACTTACGCAAAATCGAGCTAAGAAAATCTGAGAACTTTTCTGGGTAACCTGCTGCATAAACCTCCACACTATGTATGTTGCTTTATAGCTGCCTCCTCGTCAGACTCGTGTTTTCGCCTGTCTGACTTGTTGGCAATAATGTATCCTGTTTGTTTCTTATGGTTACTGTACAGACTAATTTATACAAGATTTGTTTACAATACTCATGCTTAAATTAAGTTCATTGTAAGAAAGAACTCTGCAACATCCGTTCCAATGAAGAGTAAATAATAACTATAGATATGTGTTCAAATATTAGAATATTGATCAGTACTTGTTATGACACTCCTGCTCATAAAAATACTTTTTTGATAGGTTTGGTTTATTACAAGCCACATAAAAGATCTGCTAGCAGATCATGAACAGAAAGTACCATCACCAAGTGCAGATCCCTTGATTGAAGATGCTACCTAGAGATACATGCTAAAGTTCTACTACACCAAAATGGCATGATGAAATCTTGGTTTGGCTGGATGGCTGAAATTGAGCATACCTGATGCACTGAAACATGCCTCATGTTTTACACTTTCATACCTGTTACTATTATAAAGGAGATGTGACAAACAGTTTATGCCATCATTTTTGTAACATGCACCTAGAAGTTGCAAAGGAAGGCAGCTGCAGCCTTAACTAAATGTGAAATGAATGTTAATATACTTGACCTACAAGCAAAAAATGCTATATGGTGCAAAAGAATTAAAGGCCAAAACGAAAAGCCTATTACTGGTAAGTGCTGTACTGTGGTGACAACCTCCTGGGATAAGGCCAGAAAGAAGCATAAATAGGCCATTTTGGTATTTTTGGTAAACTTTAGACTGGAAGTAGCTTGCAACTGAGGCTAATGTGGGAAGTTTTTTTGTTTTATACCGAGAATGAAAAATGGCCTATTGTACCATTAATAAGCCATTGTGGAGAAAAATGTAGAAGTCAATGGTTTAAGAGAAAGTATTTTAATTTTATTTAGATATTTTACTGACTTTAATGGTTATCACAACTATTAAAAACTTGAAAAGGATGTTAATTAGTCCATAACACTTGGAATTTTGAAATTTAGTAGTAGCTCTCAAATGTTGCCTGCCCTGGGCAAGTGTTAGTTTACTCTTCTTTTTATTGAGTCAACAGGCGACATGCCTGAACCCTTACCCATTGGGCAAGTGAGAATGAAAAGTCACTTGCCTTGCAAAAAAAATTACTTGTCCCATATGACTGGATGGCACTTGCTTTACTGGGACAGAATTAATGGGTTATTGTAGAAAGATGACCTATCTAGGGAGCTGGCCATTAGTAGAGGCTCATCCTGGGAGGCTCAGCTCCTGGTAGGGGTACTTCTGGGTTAAATAGGTTGTGCAGCCCCGAAGGGTAATGGTTTTTCAGCTGTTTTGGTCATAAATAGGGTATCAATTTTGGCCATTTTGGTCATAAGTAGGGTATGGTTTTTGCACTCTAGTCTTAAATTGGGTGTGTTTTTAAGGTGAAACTACGTTTTCATCATTATTGATAAGACCATCAACAAAAGCCCTTCACAAATTATGTTTATGGGAATTTAACATTGGGCCTGAACTAAGGAACTAATAATAAGTCAGGTCTGAAACTGGGTATTGATTTAAGGATCATGTCATAAATAGGGTATTGAATTTTTGGTCACGTCATAAATAGGGCAGAGAAAATTGCAGATTTTGGTCATAAGAAGAGTGAGGGTTTTGGGAAGTGGGCCACACAACCCCACCCAGTTTTTGTGGGAGTACCCACCCCGAGGCTCAGCTGTATATCTCACAGTAATTGTTAAATTATCTGCAACTGACAAATCAGTTGTATGCTGTAGAAATGCTAGGGGTGGTAAAGGTGTTCTTGAGATTTTTGAATGTGCCTTGTCAAATGATCTTTCCTCCCTTTGGCCTCGTCAGTCTGGCTACTTTTGACATAATTTTTTTACAAAAAAAATGTCTTACAAGAAAATCAATACAGCTCCTGGCTCCAATTGTTGAAAGGGTGGATACAGCTATCCATTACACAGCCACAGAATAGTGATTTAATCTGTAGCATTAGATATGAAAAGAAATAGATGTCCAAATATTAGCAAATAGTTGTACAAACCTTGTGCTACTTTTTCAACCAAATATCAGTAGTAGATCCATACTAATTCTGAGCAGCTCACACAAGTTTTCCCGTGCTTTGATTTGGCGAAATCGGAATGTATTTGCATGGAGTTCAAATTGGTTTTCAATTTGGTTTTGTCCTGAGTCTGACTCCTCTGTGATTGGCCAAAGTGATTACTTTGGTCTTGGTTTTACAATACTTAGTTGAAAAGCATTCTTTAACCCAACATTTTATACATGGTCAATTTGTGGAAAAGTCGCTAAATTTAGTGATGTTGTTGCTTAGTTCGTGTCAAAAAAGCGAAGCAAAATGTTATAGGCAATCCTGATTGTGCCATATATAAAGGATATTTCATGACGCTTATATCACATCTTAGACATGTTGGACACGGAAGAATCATGGCTGGGTTGATGAATTTTGCTCTGAAAATCCTCGTCGACTTTTTTGATAAATTCGGTCTCGTTTACAAAAGAAATGTTGGAACCTTCTTAAGCTACAAGCTTGGTAAAGGCCACACAGTAACCCTTCCTCCGTCAACACCACATTTGACGATAAGTCCTACTTTTCTTGAAGGCAAGAGAGTTCTTTTCGTGGGAGATGTTCATGGTTGTTTCGACGAGCTCAAAGAGTTGTACGATAAATGTGCATATCCTGGCACGGATATTGTTGTAGTCTACGTGGGTGACCTTGTGTACAAAGGTCCGAAGACTTTGGATGTAATTCGCTTTGTGAGAGAGACCGGCTCGTTCTCTGTCAGAGGGAATCATGAACAGTCGATTTTAACAGAAATCCTTCATAAAAGAAGAAACGAACCCGTTAGAGATAAACGGAGAATTGTTTACGACCTAACCCTGGAGGATGAAGAATTCTTGGAAAATCTTCCCTTCACGATAAGCATTCCTTCGTTGAATGTGCTGGTAGTTCATGGTGGTTTGCTGCCAGGGGTACCCCTGACGGAGCAAGACCCCTTGGGTATGATCTTCATCAGAAACTATAACCCAGAGAAATTTCAAGGAACGGCGAGCACAGGCGATGGTTTTGCTTGGGCGTCCGTATGGAATGGTCCCCAACATGTTGTATTTGGACATGATGCTCGGCGGGGGCTTCAGTTGCATGCACATGCAACTGGTATTGACACTGGATGTGTATATGGTAATCATTTGACTGGTATTCTGGTGGAGGATGGGGTATGGAACAACAGAAAATTAATCCAAGTCAAAGCAAAAGAAAAGTACACCCCAAAAGAAAGCTGAAATACTTTGTCTTGACATGCATTTTTCTGTGAAATTGACTTAAACTTGTGTTTCCACAAATGAGAAGGTTGATCAAACCACAGTGATAATGTTATATATGTTAGCAATTTATTCATCTCTCATCTGATTGCTCTTCCCTTGTGGAACAATGATATGGGGCGGCGAGGACTCCCATATAAAAAGGACAGGGTGTTCATCTGAAAATGTTTTGAAATGAACCCCTAGGAGGAACCAAGATCCTGTTTTGTGGGTGTGGCGTGGAGTGGCTTGAAACTTTTTTCACCCCTAAGAGGTACCAATTCTAAAAAAAAAAAATCATGTCCTGTCATATTTCTTTTCGGTTTGATACCCTAAAAGGTACCACAAAAACTCCTGCTGTGGACCTTTTGAGACTAAACACTCTAAGAGGCACCAAATCCGTTTTTTAAACACCTGAAAGGTATGATGAGCACCCCCTTCATCCTTTTAATGGGATTCTTCCCCGGTTTTTTTGTGAACATGCTGTTGTTATTCAATCTGGGTATTGGGTATCAATTAAAATGTTAAAAACAGAAACATCGACACATGAACCCTCTTCCCCAAGGCACAGGACTTGCCTACTTTGTACCTAGATGCCTCTCGTTTTGCAAAGAAAGCAGAATGGGCTAGATAAGTTGGTCAATGGCCAAGATGTGTTCTTTATTCAGCCAACAAAGTCTGGAAAATTTGAATCATGTGGTGCCAGAATGTCAGAGTCAGCAAAGAGAGGGAGCTAAGGAGGCAAAAGTCAAATTGAGGTATTGTTTGTGAAGGAAAGCGACACCAGTCTCTGGTGATGCCTAACAAAAATATCTTTTCAAAGCCAACACAAACCAAACTAGTAAAAGATTCAAGGCAAATTACAGGGTGTCAACTTAACAGCGGAAACCATGTAGACCTACATGTGACCTTCGACAAAACATTTGGTACACCCCACCACAGTCCAACAGCTTTGCTCTACTTAAGGTGGCCGAACACAATTTTCATGCATGCTCTCACTTATGTGATTCAGTGTGCGTCAATACAGTGATCATTTTATTTGGTCAATGCCTGTGCTATCTGCTATTTTGTGTTCAAAATTGAACACAGCATATTTATGGTTTTAGTCTTTTATTAGAAATATATGTAACAAAAGGTAATGATGCAAAAAACCTAGCAATTCAAACTCTTTTCTTTGTTACGAAAAGAACCCAGTCAAATGCAGCACATGCGTAGCAAGTCAAAAATTATGACTGAAAGTGCGATAACTTTCTCAGAAACACGCCTATTTCTCGAGAACCAGTCATTCAAGTTTTACGAAAGTTGGCACGAAAATGCTTTGGGAGTATCCTAGATATTCCAGTTAACCTTCTGACAAGGGATAATTAACAATAATATTTCTGTTAAATTATTATTAAAATAGTGTTGACTTGTGGGCATCGTTACAAGCTTGTTGCATGCAAATGTTAAAGAAAATCTAATGACTAGATTTTCTGCAGATAAACAAAACCCATTTTAAAGGCCTGTTTATATTTATTCATGTTGCCATAGCAATGGCACATATGTCAGCTTAACTATCAAAAATCTGAAGTTTGCGTTGTTAACTTGCATGTGGCCATCTTTGGTGACCTAAGGATCAAGGGTTTTATAGAAAGAGGTGAATGAAACACAGGTATCAAAAATTGTGTTCAGCCTGGCACCTTGAAAGAAGCTTTTTCTTAGAACACAGCATGTAATGCCCTTCCACGGCATTAATGTGAAACAAAATAGGTTAAGACCATTTTTTTTTAATGGCAAAGTACAAAATTAATGTTTTGTGCTGTACGTGTCGTGGACCTGTCCAGGTTGTAATCAGATGACGTTTCCAGCAACCAGGAGCACCACATGAATTTCATCATGAATTTACCTTGCAGACATGCTTTGCCGCTCACGCATCCAGCCGTCTCTTCTTGGGGAGGAACGTAGACCAGACAAGAGAGCGCCATGGAAATCAAGCCTATATTTTCCTTAGAGTAAATTTTTTGCTGTAATTTATTCTTTATAATTGAATTGGGAGGTGTGACTACCTAGTAATAGTTTATTGGTACCCAGGATTCTGGACCATCAGCCAAGCTTTGAGCCCTGGCCATGTGTTGTGTTCTTGGATAAAACACTTTACTCTTACAATGCCTCTCTCTCTCTCTCTCTGTCTGGTTGGGGGAGTGCTGCTAGGACACTGAAACCTTTACCCTATACCAGGCACCAAAACCCCATTCCCTATCCCAGACTAGCTATTTTCCATGCAGAAACCTTTTTACAATAATTAGTCCAACATAAGCTAACTAAACCAACTCATACAAAGTCACTTCCGAGTTTTAAATTTTACTATTTATCACTGGTAAAGAAGCCTGTTTTAAACTAAATTATTTAAAGACTGGCCACTTTCCGGTAAGTTATACCCTATTCTTGACAAAAACTGTCTGATTTCTATACCCTAATTCAGACTAATGGGGAACAGCACAACTACTTGCCTAACTCCAAATGAGAATTTTATCACATGGGAGGATGGGTTAATGACCAAAAGGAAGCCTGTTCTCCGATAGAGTCGTTGGCTACACCCAAATCTATTATGAAGATAGAAACGTGGAACGTCCGAATGATGTACTGAATAGGGAAAACAGCAGTTGTAGCAAGAGAGATGAGGAAATACGACATCGATATACTGGGAATCAGTGAATGCAGATGGGCTGGTTTTGGGCATATGAGGGTACAAACAGGTGAAACGTTGCTGCACTCAGGAAGGGATGATGATGCACACCTGAGCGGTGTAGCCATGTTGTTGAGTAGGAAGGCAGCCAGCTGTTTAATTTCTTGGTCACCTGTGAATGATTGAATTATCACTGCACGGTTCAACTCGCATTATATGAGAACTAGCATTGTCCAAGTGTATGCTCCCACAAACAATGCCGAGGAAGAGGCAAAAGATGTCTTCTATGAGCAGGTACAGAAAGTCCTTGACAAAATCCCAAAACATGATATAGTGATCCTGATGGGGGATTGGAATGCGAAGGTTGG